TTTCGGAATTCAAATATGTATATATAATATAAGTTTTTTTTATTAAGCAGACATAACACATTAAGAAAATAAATGTCACGCGGTGACAAAAAAAACCGGCTTTGAAGTTTTATGAATTTGTGTCTTCTCTAGTCGGGAGTTCACCCGATTATTATTATGTTTGGTAGTCCCCTTTGATGTTTTCTACAATAGCGTTTTCGATTAGTGAATCGATTCACGAAGCATTCGAGCAGGCTTACGAGGTTTCTGAAGCTTCTTTTTTGGAATAAATTTTAAAATTGTCGACGATTAGGAGAAAAATATTACTCGATATTTAAAAGATTTAAAGCAATTTGAAAAAAAGCATCTGTGGTAATTAAATTTCAATATCATGGGTGATGATATTGAAGGGGGTGAGGTTACGGGGGACAACACGCTTTAAAATTATTTTATTATTTATATATTCTTTCCAGTTCAGAACGTTACTAAAAACACGTACCCGATCATCCGGAGTGGTGCAAACATTTTTTATCTTTTTTTCATATTTAACTACTACTTGAAGTTTTATAACATATAATTAATATATAATAAAAATCGAGAAAATATATGGTAATCCATAATTTTTGGAAATCTTTATAAATCGCATTCTTCAAAGACAAAACTGTTACATTGTTTTACATTGTCTTTAAGATGATGGTGCAATTTTTCAAAAATAATATAAATTTTTATTGTGATTCCATAAAATATCACGTAATCAGCAATTTAACAACAATTTTGTACGCGAGCGCGTGCGCAACATTTTCATTAAAAACGGCGCTGCACGCACTTTACATTCCAACTCTGAGCAATTTTTGCACCAGACTAAATAAACTATTTGGCTGCTATGTAATTTCATAATTTATGCCTTATGTTGAGCAAACTCAGTTTAATAGAATATGGAAATTTATTAATGGAAGGCGCTGTCGAAGCAGAAGACATTGCCACGATTTACCTATTTAAGCTAGCCTAAAACATATATTTAACTTTTCATTGCAAAAATTAGTTATTTACATTAAGACCGAAAAGTTTTCGGAAATTCTCATTTAAAATTCGCGCGCTGTATATTTTTCGATATTTTAAGTTTATGTAGTTTGGCAGCACTGTCCTTAATTACTATGCCAAAAATGAGCGCGATCTGTCAGACAGTTCGTTTACGGCAGCTGTTGAAACCAGTTCACCTCAGTAGGGCGTTGCGAAAAAAACAATGGAAAAAAATATTGAACAAAGAGTTTGCATCAAATTTTGTGTTTCGAACGAAATTTCGTGTGCAGAATCGTTGCGAATGCTACAAAAGGCTTATGGGGAATCAGTTTTATCGAAAACTCAAGTTTATGAGTGGTACAAAGCCTTCCAGGACGGTCGTACGACCGTCGAAGACATTTCGCAACGCACTACTGAGGTGAACTGGTTTCAACAGCTGCCGTAAACGAACTGTCTGACAGATCGAGCTCATTTTTGGCATAGTAATTAAGAACAGTGCTGCCAAACTACATAAACTTAAAATATCGAAAAATATACAGCGCGCGAATTTTAAATGAGAATTTCCGAAAACTTTTCAGTCTTAATGTATATGCAATATATTCTCGAATAAAGTGTAGTGTACAATGCACAATTTAAATGACCTACAGCAAATCTATATTTATGCCCGGCATTACTTACTTTGTTATTATTTTCGCTACGATTCAAAGTATGGAACGCACTTTATCATAAATCTCAGAAACGGCAGCGATTGCAACATTTGCGCTTTGGGACATAATAATTGTAACAGCTGAGATTGTTGCCTTATTGTTTGTTTGGTTGTTTGGTTGTTAGTTTGTTTGGGTTGTTTTTGGGTCTTGTTATTTCTGCTGCAGTGGTGCTGCTGCAGACACACAAAATGCAGCTGTCAAGCCAAAAGCCCAACTAGATCTGGATTTGTTGTCAATTAAAACGTTACACTGCTAACCTAATTTCGCTTAAATTGGAATTTTTATCATTTTACCCACATCCACATTCGACTCAACATCCAAGCTACAAAGTGGTCACTTGGTCAGCAGTAGCAATAATAGCAACTCACACAGCACTTGGAATTCATGTAACCAGCACAACTTTTTATAACACTTTTCCAGCAACAGCAACAGCAACATTTTCCATAAGTATCTGTTGCTGTTACCGTTGTTGTTGTTGTGCTGTTGTTGCAGTTGTTGCTCATGTAGGCACATTTCATATGAAAATTGTGCGAATGGCAATCGTAAAGTCACTGATCCACTTTGAAGTTATGCTTCACTTTTGCTCCACTTTTATTTAATCAAAAACTAATTGAAAAATAAAAGTTAAAATAGTTTTACTGGCACTAAAATCCTCACATATTAAGTGCTTTAACGAAAATTACATGCATAAATAATTTTAATATTCACGTAGATTACACATATGATTTTATGAAGCATTGTGACGATTTCTTTTAATTTAAATTAAACACTTTACACAAATATTAAAACAGTTAATTAATACGTTACGCTTCTAATTAAAGATAATCAATAATTAATAATAAAAAATAAAATATTTTGAAGCACAAGGAAAGCCATAGATCAGCAGTCATAATCGTTATGTCAACACCAGATCAAACACTCATTCATTAATTATATATATTTAATCAGTACGTACCTGAACGCAGTAAAGGCTGATATACCATTTGTGTCAAAATCCAAAATTTTTACGTATAGATGGGTGTATGGGTGTTTGTTATATATATTTTAGCTGTACGCATCTAAACACAGTAGAAGCTGATTTAACCTTTGTGTCAGCACTCAAAAACTTATACATATATATGTATATACATACAACACACCCAGATGGTTATATATAAAAACCCCTACATGAAACAATTTAAAATTACATATATTTTAACTATGCACATGAATCCAATATTCACCTGTATGTGTGCATACAAAAATCCCTAATAACATAAGAGAGTGAAAAAAATCCATATATATTTAGATAGTCTCTCTCCCACAAATTCAATTAAAAATTACTCTAAGAACAGTACTTTAATATCAAAGAGCAACTGCACTCTTATTAAATACAGTAACAGTGTTGTCTAGCGTGGGTACCTGCCATTAAGGCTTAAGACCACAGTGCTTTACAAACCAGTGTTTCAAGATAACCCGCCGATAAACACCCAATTGGAAATTCTAATGAATTTCCGCCGGTACCAATGAAGTTATGTGTTTCGAACATAATTTCCTCTTTGGAAAGAAGCGACGCCCACACAACCTCTGCTGATCTTTAGTGATAAATACGAAAAACCACACTGAATGATGATAAATGAATACCAATCATTTTCACGCGTAAGTTTAGGTATTAACCACACACACTATAACACGGTCAACCTCAGTTGGTCTGGACAGTCGAAGCTGTGGGTACCTGACTCCCATAGTACCAGATTCTCACCTCCGTTCCACTATTGCAAGTGCTTATACATTCCAACCACACACTCTTATTAGATACAGTCAAAAAATTAAACTCATCTCGATCCCCATTAAGCTAATAAAATTGCCAATGATGTAGGCCGAGTTCCATTACTTAACATTATAACTCAAGAAAAATAGAACATTTTATAACTCAAGAAGAATAGAATATTTTCAACCTTACTTCTTTCCTTTTTAAAAAATTCTGACATCAACTCTACTCCTCCAAACTACACCTATTACTACAAAATAAATCCATACAGTATCAAGCCCCTTTACGCATCAAACTGCCTGCACAAGTAATTAAAAGCCTTTACTTGTCTATCTGATGTATATCAATACTGAAACTTTAATTCTTCATTTATCTTCGAAATTTAATTTAAGAGAGCTTCGGCTTCACTGTAGAAACTCCTTTCGTACTTTTTTCCGCAACCTCTATTGAACTAAGGTTTTTATTGCTATTGCTTCTTATTAAATTGTTGTATAGAATTTTTTTAATAAATAATTAAATACTTTTTTCTACCTTGACGTGTACATACAAAAAAGCCTTACAACATAAGAGAGTTAAAGAGTATATATATTTAATCAGTACCTAACACCTAGCTATGTATGTATGGGAAAATAAAGTAGAAAATGAAACACAATAAGCACAAAATGTATCCCAATCAATCCTAAATTCGAAAAAAATGACTTCAGCTTACATATTCAACGAAGAATCACTGTTCCTGGTAGAAGTTACATCAGGCTAAGTGATCCATATCTATTCTACTATATGGTTCTGAATCTTAGCTATAACCAACAATGATGAAAAGCTTTGCTGCGAATGGAAAAAAATGCGCGTTTTCTACTGCTAGTAAAAACGCGATAGAGCACGTTCCCATCTTCAGTAGAAGGAATAAGGGACCAACGATATTAATATACATTTTACAATCCATTGACGACAGCAAGCCGCTGAGCGTGGGGAGGCTAGTGGTCAATATCGGCTCACGTTTGTAATGGCCAACTAAGTAAGTAAATTAGTACCATCTAGTACTCAGAATATATGGTATGTATTTAAAAAAGAAGAACACATCCAGTTACTCTGGTCTTGACGCAAAGGTTGAGAATCACAAACATCTGAAATTTCGAAATCAAGACCAATCATCATTGATATTGAGAAACACTGCTAAGACAGCATTAATAGTTTTTAATAGTTTATTTAGGTCAGAATTGTTTTCTTTATAAAGTTATTCCAAGATGAATATTTTCTTAGTTGGTCAGCAACAGTATTATAGTACTATTGAGTTTATCTTTATAAAAAAGAAGTATATATAGTTACTTTATTACTATTAATTAAAATTCATTATTTTATTATTTTTAAGTTAATATATTAATTTACTATAGCTAAGTAATTATGTATGTATGTATTTATTTATATAAAGTAATTACTTTTACTTTCGCATAACACTTAATATAAACTAATTTATTTAAGATCACAAACTAAAAATATTATTAAATTCATACAATATATACGAGTATGTATACTATTTCATTTGCTTAATAATACTCATCACTATTACTTTCTTCATAACTCGCTGCCTCTTTTTCCGCATCTTCGTATGATTCTTCATCACTGTCATAATCATCACCTTTTTCTTTCTTTTCATATTTTTCATTGTTTTCAGTATTTTCCTCATCCTCATCATTACCGCCATCATTATCATCATCTTCTTCATTAGCATCGTTATTATCATCAGTAGTTACTGCATCACTTTCTATATTATTTTCCGTCTGATCTTCATGCACCTCATAATCTTTTTTGGCTTCCTGATTGTTTTCGGTTGCGTCTTCATTATAATCAACACCGCCATTCTCATTGACATACTCTTCATCATAGCTGGGCTGTTGTTCATCGTGTTTCACATATATATTTCCGTTGTCCTGTGAACCAGTATTGTAACCATGAATTATTGGACTACCTCCATCTTTTGTAACTGACGCTTGAAAACCGTTGACATTGTCCGCTGTGTATTTTACCACACGCAATGTTCCATCAGGGTCAACCACGCTGAGTTGGTTTTCGTTAATATGTGTGATATGCGCAGTAGGCGCCGCGTAATAATTTTCAGCCAAGTGGTTAAATTAAAATAAATTAAAAAAAAAAACAAATTAAAATAAAAAAAATTATATGTACATAAATAAAAATATTTTTCAGTTTTAAATTTAAGATTAATTTGAATTAATCACCAGTTTAAACAAGTTACAGCGCTGTGACAAAATTTTTTTCTACACAGTTCTGATAGAAATATGTAATAAAATTATATCTTTATGATTATATATTTATATTATATAATAGTGAACTACAACACAACATTGTTGTTCTTGCAAGTTTATTGCATTTTTGCACATAGATTTTGCATTGAATTCTAAATAATCTCATTTTCTTACAGCTACATTGCAGCTACACTGTTTTGAGGAATGGTCACAACTGGAATGGTCACAACTTACGAAAACCGTTAAGTGAAATTGGTTTTCAACCCCTTACATATAATCCGGAAGGCAGTAGAAGAAGTGGAAGACCTAAGATCACCGGCACATATCAACACTAAACGAAATTAACAGCCCATCCACACACGTTGGCAGATCATACATCAAAATTTTTAAGCTCAGAGAAGTAACAGTAAGTAGGCAAAGGTGGAGGAAATTTGTAGATAGCTTATGCCCAGTAAAGAGGCAGCTTGGAATCATGTCACGCCAAGCAAACCTTAATAATAAACCAATATAAAAAATAGTGGACTTTGTCAGCCTGGATACTCTATGAATTTTTATATGAAACTTTATTAAATCAGTCGAAAAAGAAACATTTTACATATAACCCGACAGACAGATAGAAGGAATAGGCACCCAAACAAACAGACATCGTTAAATGAACTCTTCTAGTGTAGAGAAGAGTAGAGTATATTTTTATTATATTTATTTATTATATATTATAGTATATTTATATCATACTATATATATTAAAGTATATTTTTATTAAATTAATATTTTGAATGTTAATAAAACTTTATTTTCTGCACCTATCCTATCTAGAGTCTAGATCTAGAGACTAGATAACCAATTTTATGAAATTGTATGCTCTATCAATCTGGATTCTGATTAAATTCTTGTGCGAAATTTCATTACTTAAGCTTTTAAAACAGATACTTTACATATATCCCATTAACAGATAAATCAATAAAACTTGCTAAATTAATTCATTTTTTGATATTGATTGAAAGTATATAGTATATGCTTTAACTTACAAGAATTTAATGTACAAAATGCAACATATTCCTCATCAACTCATCAACAACTAATGAAACAATATTGTGTTAGAAAATAATCGATTTCAAAAAAATATTACTTAAAATGCTGAAAAATATTTTAGTGTTATGTTGAGCTTTTTCCGAAGTAGTACTTCTGAGCACTTTTACTCTTTGATAGCTAGGGAGTTTCTGCAGAATCCCACCCATCTCACTGACTAATTTGAGTATTCCTCATAATCTTCGTTATTATTCAATGATTGATCTAAGATCTGCGTACCGCCCCGTGCGGTAAGTGATTACTCTGAGATTAGATAGTGCTAAGTAGCGCAGCGTGTCAGTTTTCGCTTATAGCTTCAGGGCTCTGTGCCTTATATATTTTTTGACCGGATGTATTCTAAGGTCTCTTAGTCTGTCATTCGTGCGGATGTACCATGGCACTTTGAGTCTTCGAAGAGCCTGACTTTGAACAACTTATAACTTCTGGATAGTAGAGTCGGCAGCTGTAGATCAGCTTTCTGTTCTTCGCGCTAAGGTTGTTGTGTTTGAAAAATGGTTGTAGGCATTGGAATAATTTTTTGCAACTACTTCTTTTGACTTGTATGTGATTGTGCCAAGTGAACCGCTTATCAAACGTGATGCCTAGGTATTTAATGCAAAAAAAGCGCTTAAAGCGCTTAGGTATACTACTAAAGACAATTTACCATATGTTATCTTTTTATAACAACATTTAAACTTACTACAGTGAAAACTCTTTAAACAAACATTCCTCTAAATAAACAATCCTGTTAGGTGTATAATTTTTTTCCAAACAAATTTTTTATTATTATTATTTGGTACAACTTTTAACTTTGAATAGGACACCTCTCTTAAGCTGACAAAAATGGTAGGCGATAAAAGAATTTTCTCTATAATTGTTTATATATTTATAAAATTATTTTGAATTTTTTTTTAATTTAGCACTACTTTAATATGCCAAAAATATAAAAAAAAATTGCTTGAATGCTGAAATTGATTGCTTTTATCTTATAAACATAAATTTTCGATCAACCAAATTTCCACTTAAAATCCATAGTCGATCATATTAGCTTTCTATAATCGTTTAAAGCAATTATGTATAATCTTTAATATGCCTCATAAGTTATCTTCGCACCTTTCAACTAAATTATGAATACCTATTAATAATACAGCTTAAACTTACTAACTACTTACTTACCTATAAACCCCTTTAACTTCATCTCCGTTACGTGTCTCCTTACGATTCTGCAACAAATAATTTTGTGCATCTTCAACGCCATAGGCAAATTCATACTCTGGTTTGGCAATATAATCGATGCTATGACCACCATTTAGCGCATCGTGTACAAACACCTTCTGCTCGGGACCACTAACAGGTCCGTAAAATCGTGAATAGGAGTAACCCAACGCATGGCTAAATAGCATTGTTGGCGCTGGTATGCCACTAATGATAAGCACTGCCAGCAATAACCACGCAGGCGAGTATGTTTTGATGCATTTCAATGGAATCACTCGTCTGCTTTGTACAAAACTACAGGCAATCAAATCGCTGACAGCTCCATGTTTATGAGTTTGCATAGTTATGGCAAATTTGTTTAATTTAAAAAATAAAAAGAAAATATTTCAGCTTTTCTAAATAATTTTACTTGTTGACAATTTTAGCGAAATTGTTTTATGACTTGAAATGATTGCGCGAACTAAGCTTGATTTGTCACACTTCTTGTTTATTTATAAGATATGATGAGCTTAAGGAAATTGACACGATTGCAGCAAAATATATTGCAAACAATTCAAATTTGTTGTTGTTTTTGTTTTTTTAATTCATGTAAAAATTTTCCACTTCAGTAAAAGCAAATCATCTGCAGATGCAAATTTTGTTATGCTTCAATTGTCAAGTAACCACAGAGAAAGACACTTCTTTCGAAGCTAGCAGTGACATAATTATAAACTCATCTACTCAACGGGTATACCACAAATATTGTACAGTTTTCCATATAAGACGAATATTTCATATAATCTTGATACTATTTTTTAATTGAAATAATCTTAGAAGAACTTAGATTTAGTTTACGAACTCAAACTAGTGGCGACAATTCTTTCGGTATCGTGAGTATCTATTTTTTTCTTTGTTGTCTAACGAAATGTAAAGCAATCAAAAGCCCAGTCAATGTGAGATTTCAACCCACTAAAATTACCCGACTCTCTCAGTATCACCGATTTGATATTTCGTCAAGAGACCGTCCGTCCAGAGCACGAAGCTCAAACGTCAGTTATTTGGCGTCATTTCAATTAACTACATTTTTCAGACTGTATATTTGTAATCATCATCGTTGCAGGTTTATCACTGCAGCTGTTCTTCTTTCCTCTTTGTAAAGTCTTACTGCATTCCATTTAGAGCTGCTTGAACACATTTCATGTACAACGCTGCTAGAAGATGGGAGATACTCTAGAGCCTCCACGAGAAGTTATCATTCTGCATTAAACCGGTCGCAGCGAAATGCTACATGTTCTGCGCTTTCTGTGACGTTGTGGCAGTTTGGGCAGTAGGGACTATCTGCCAGCTGAAAACTGAAAAAATATTCTAAAAAGCCTACGTCGCCGCTTAATATTTGAGTCAAATTGTAGTCGATTGATACTAGAATCTAACTCAAGATACTGAGTATCTATAAGAGATATTGAGTATCTATAATAGATACTAAGTATCTGTAATATCTATAATCACATTAAAGATACTGTATATTTATAATAGATACTGAGTATCTATAATCTATAATAGATACTGAGTATCTATAATAGATACTGAGTACCTATAATAGTAATAGATAATAGATACTCAGTATCTATTATATTATCTATTAGATAAGTAATCTTAGATATTATTAGTATCTATTAGATACTCAGTATCTATAATATCTATAATCACTTTAAAGATACTGAGTATCTATAATAAATACTGAGTATTTATAAAAGATACTAAATACCTATAATCGATACTGAGCATATAAAATAAATAATAGATACTGAGTATCTATAATAGATACAGAGTATCTATAATAAATACATAATATCTATAATAGATAATAGATACTGTATATAGATACTAAGTATCTATAATTGAAATATTCAACTGTTGCTTTTTTCTTCGTTCCCACAAATTCTAGAGCACTCACACAATGAACCTCTTAGCCTGAGATAATGTCTACCAAATAGTTAATGACCACTTATATGAGTCCCAATCTAACATATATCTTACCTTGGGAAAGTAAGCAATTCTCTTAGTTTCCGCTTACCAGATTTCAGACACTCTAATCTAGGAGTTAAGTTAGTGTCTTCGTTGATTAACTTAATTTTCAGAAATAATCCACAATTATGTATATTAATATCGCTTGCCTCTGACCCAAGAGAAGACTAACTTAGTGGCCACACTATTTCGTGCACTGTCATTGTGCCTGAAATTGATGTTGATAATATTAAGAATAATATCAGTACTGACATTCCAGAACAATCTTAATTTTTGTTCTTTGTTTTTAATTTTAATCTTGAAAAAATCTGCGTTTGTCCACCCACGCTAAAGAAGAACAAATTGAAATTTTTATGCTTTATAATTAGATACCAGTTCTCTTATTTCAAAGACGAGATAGAAGCGTTTTAGCAATTCTTATACTGAATGTGTTTCGTGTTCAGAAAATTTATGCTTTTAGTAGAAAATATTCTCAAAAGCTTTTGAATATAAAAACTAAAATGAATTGTTTAAGCTTGAAACAAAGAATATATCTGTGGTTAAACCTTAACTTTAAATCAAAACCTAGTAAAGATGCGTTTTCCCACAATTACAATTTTTTCCACATCATTTTGTACATCGTTAACTTCATCATTAAATCAGTAAAATCAGTGAAATCACTAAAATTACCAAAATCAGCAAAATCACCAAACAAACTTTGCCAGCTCTGCCATAGCATTACCAAGTCATATTAAAACTTGTAAGCCAAAAAGATCAAATGCTGTTAGACTTATTTTGGCCAAATACTAAAGTCGTTAATATGCACTACCAAGTGGCAATCCACCGTATACCAATGGCAAGTGGCAGATTGTAACAACGAACTTGTTGTAGGAACACTGCACTTAAGTCAGTCCATGCAAGTGTGTCTGCGTTTGTTGTTTTGACCTTTAGCGGGGTCTTTCATGTGCAGTTTTTTGGGAGGGTCGAGCTTACGTAGCCAAACACATCAACTTGTACCTACAGATTTGCTGTTTTCGATCGCGGATTATTTCAAAATATTTTCTATATCAAACACATTGTGCGAATATATTTTCCTTACCAGCCATAAATTATAGGTAAAGCGAAACACTGATTGTTGAGAAAAATATTAATTTTATATTACACATAAATCATACTAAATACTAAATACCTCAATTGAAGAATTACACATTTGACTATAAATAATTCTGAGTAGTTGACAGTAATGCCGTATGGAATTAAAAGATTACCTTGACTAACGGCATCGAATTTAGGAACATACAAATTTCTATCGAATAAAAGATACTTAAAGCGATTAAAACTTAACTGATACTTATATGTCGAATAAAAAAAATAAAATAAAAATAGTTACTAAAAATGATAAATAGCAGTTGAAGTTAATTTTCATTAAAATTATTAACACCAAATATTTTGGCAATGTCCTTGACTGCATTATAAAAAATAGGCAGCCGTTTATAACACCTCTGATAGCTCATTATATTATTATATTATGCATATATCATATTATACATATATCAAAATATTAACACCAATTATTGTTGAAAAAACTATTAACTAATATAATTATATTCTGCTTGTATTTAATATAATTTTACTTTGTTTGTTATTATAAATTGTTAATTTTTTATTTACATATATAATTTTTAGGTTCTGCTCAAAAAGTACTCGGATTTTGTAAATAAAACACACAAATTTAAATTTTATTCCAAATTTTTTTATCTCCCTCAAAATGTGCTCATTCTGAAGCGATACACATATGCCAACCCCTAACCCAATCTTCCATACATTTTTCGTAGGCCCGTGAAGGTATGGCTTTTAGTTCCTTCAGCGAATTCTCTTTTACCTATTCATTCGACTCAAAACGCTTACCACGAAGGAGCAATTTGAGTTTCGAGAATAGAAAAAAGTCGCACGGATCCAGACCCGGCGAATATGATGCCTGAGCGATGACATAGTAAAAATCGCTAAGTGTACTTGAGGTAGTCTCACATTAACAGCTGCTGTAAACAAACTAATTGACAGATAGCGCTCAAATTTGTACCATATGTCAAGAAAGGGTGTACCAACATAACAAAAAAAACTTTTTGAAAAAAGTCTATTACTTAAGGAGTAGTTAACAAACAACAAAATCCTGATACTTTTTGAGCGGAAGGTATTTGTTCATAAAACTCTTTAATGAATGGACTTTTTAATTAAATAGGTATGTATTTTTAAATCAAAATCAATAAATATTATAAAAATCCATTAGAAAAATAATAAATATAAGAAAAACCATTTTAAAAAAAATTGAGATAGTGACCACATCTTGATACAAAATATACTCCAGCTCTACCTGGAGGATGTCGGGAGGATTCCGACTACGTGAAAAGTGCGAAGTTCCTCGTCTATTCGAGTAACCTTGGTAGTTTTGAAGTTGAAGAAGTTGGAATAATATTTGCCATCCATATACTTCATGAGACACAACCTCGACGCTGAAAAATTCAAGCATGAACAAATGAGAAGCCTTATAGATGTGTTGTTATCACCACTTCTTTAAGTTAAACTAGATCGACAATGGCAAGAATATAAAAGTACTTAGAATGCAACAAATGAACGAACTGATAAATACAGTAGTATTAAATACAGAAAATAATTATTCCGAATACATTAAACCACAAAATAAGGAAGTGTAATGTTTAGGTCAACATGTCCATTAAAATAATGGACTGATAGCGATCACTTGATAGAGTGAATTACTAGATGTCATTTAGTTTAGAATCTTGATATGTTAGAATAATGTAATGAAGTTCACATAGTTGAACTACAAAGTAAAGGCAATCCATACATGACATATACTAAGTACATACATTAGTGACTACTCGATTTGTTCAAGTACCCAAAGTTATTTGAAATACCATTTGAAGAAAATTTAAATCTGCATTTGTGAAAAATGTAAATAATTTATTTTCATGCGATTTGCATTTCTGCTGTTGCCAAAATGTGTAACTTACATGATTTTTATCAAATTTATTTACATTTTGTGTTGGCCACTGTTTTAATTTAAATTTTATGTCTGTCTTGCATTTTGTACGAATTACGTGAGCGGCTAATGTAGTGCAACACGAAAAATAATTGAGATTATTGAATAAAAATAAATTTAAAAAAATAGAAGACACTAAGTGCTACTCACGCTGAGAAATAGTCGCTTGGACGGGCATATCCCAGCTTAGAGACAGATGAACGAACGTGGCAACTTGGCGTGAAATATTTGAGGGGCTCAGTAACGAATCGTGGAAGCGAAAGTATTTCAACAAATATTTTTTTCCCTGTCTGCATTGCA